TTCCGTAGCAACCGGTCGGTGTTTCCGCCGAAAGCAAATGCGTTAGACATTAGGTGGTGTATGAACTTCAGGAGGAACTTGAGGTTTTGCTGCTGGTAGAAGGGGATCTCATAGTCTACCACCTGTGAGCGGTGGTCTGCAGGTGTCCCCTTGCCTTCAACGGCGAGCCTTCCAGCGAGGTCAACTTCATGGGTGACCAAGTTAGTTATAGCCTCAAGACCGTCGGCGTTGATCAAGGTTTGGAAAGAGCTTTGCACATTATAGATGAGACTATCCAGAAACCCAACCAGAGTGCCGTAAGTCCGCTCTGCGATATTAGACCTAAGATTGAGGACTTCAACCATGACGTCTAGGAGACCAGCCGAGATGATCTCAGGAGTATTGCGTGCGGAGCTATTGGCCATGGCCATGGTGATGTGGAGAGTGAGGGAGAAGAGGTTGTCTCGCCATTCATCCTTCTCGGTCCATTGCTCACCGGAATCATCTTCCTTCATCTCAGCAACCGCTTTCCTGATGACGTATAACAGCACACCATGGTTCACTGTGGCATTTAATGCCGAGAATATATCGGAAACCTTGGTGTGAAACGCCGAAATAGCCTCCAGCAAGGATAATGCTATAGATTGCAAATCAAGAGGAACAACATTCGTGCCATCAGCACCAGGATGTATCAATTCGGCAAGCTGGTACACAAGCTGGAACCGCCGTGGCTCGTCACTATCCTGCCTGAGGACCTTCTCGACGAAGGTGGGCTCGATGTGGATATACGCTAGATTCTGGATCGCTAGAAGGCGTGCTTTGAGTGCCTGCTGCCGCGACTCAACAGATCCCATCAACGCCTTGGCAACACGGAGGCGATTCAAAAACTCGTACTTAGTCTCCTTGGGTAGATCTGCAGGCACACGGTGTAGAAGTTCGTAGATCGAGGTCGAGACTACCGCAGACTGCGGTATCTCCAAAGACTTCTGGCTAGGCGGGCTGCCATCTTCACGGCCTAGAGCAGGAGATCGTGTTGCGGACGCTGGACTATCCTCCAATGCACCTTGTCCACTAACGCGAGGGGCAGCTTGTGTGGCAGCTGAAGTACTACTGCGTCTCAGAGGAGTAGGTGTTGAGGGAACGTTCGAATTGCCTCGATCTGGTAAGGGTTGTTGTGTAGGTTCCTGCGACGAGCCCGACGCAGGATAGTATATGAGTTTCACATCGCCCCAGCCGCTCCAACGGGCCTGAGAAGCATTATTCTCAGCCGAGTCAGTCTTCGCAATGGCACAAAGGTCATTTGCCAACATGGCGGCCACGTTCTTCGCGCTCCCGCCATACGCCTTGTCCTTGCTCTTGCTAGCACTAGTCGGCGTAGACAAGGAAGAGGCGTCGGAAGGCTTCACAATAGGCGTCTTGACAAAAGGCTGAGCTAGCTGTTGTACGCGATCCAAGTCGATATTGTAATGGTTTGCTAGAAGAGCTGTATGTACTTGCCGTGTAGTCATGCCATGGATACGCTTCACCGAAGCCTGATAGCGTTGGGCCAATTCTACACCAACCTGGAGGGTGGCACAGATGATAGTGAAATCCGTACTGTGGAGAAGATCGTTTAAATGAGCACTGCTAGCATATATACTTCGGTTACCACAATGATCCAGCAGCATTTGTGTGAACTTGAGTATGGAGACGATGAGGAAGACATCGCCATCTTTACCGTATCCCAGCTCGGTGAGCTTCGCTGCCTTCTCGGTTTGGGCGTCGCCATCAGCTGTCCAGCTGTAGGCCAGCAATATCTCACAGCCGAAATCTCGAGTCTGCGGGCCCTCGTTCAACTTGTATGTATCGCAGAATGACTCTAGAAGCCCGTCAAATCGGTTCAACAGCGGTATCCAGTGGTACAAATCTCCACGAGGGAACGGCCATCGCGAAGGGAATGTGGCGAGAGACTTGGGCAAGAGAGGTAGCGGCGCCGAGGTCGCAGCGTCGACAAACTGTTGAAGCCAAGGAGACTGAAGACAAACGGGTTAGCAACGACAGACGAGCTAAAGACGGGCAGAACAAGTGGCTATAGTGACTCACCAGGGTCTCCTTGTGCTTGGGTTGGATGGTCTTCGTTATCTTTCCCATGGTGAAGGCCGGGGCGGCAAAGCCGCAGAGAACGTATCAACTCCCCCTCCACTACCAAAGCTCAGGTAGCCGGTGACGACAACTTGACTCGTCGCTGCGGAGCATCCAAATTAGCATGGACTGCTCCTCTCGTACGGGTCCTCCGTCTGCTTCTCAATACGCAAGGTGGGGCTACGGAAGTGACGTGAGGCGATGGTAAGAAGGTGTTGAGCCTCGCCTCCAAAGATCAGCCTTGCGGGTACCGGGGGGGTAATGTAGGCGTTTGCAGGAAGACCTCGTGGGTTCACGGCGAAAGAGCAGCGTCGGCGGCTAGAGAGAAAATGAAGAGGAAGATGATGCGTGCCGTGTGGACGTACGGGAATTACAGGACCAATGTTGATTAGGTGGACAAGTGAGGGGTGGTGGTGATGAAGATGCGGAATGTTAGGTGGACGGATTTCAGGTACGTGAAGATGCTGGAGTCAGATGGTTCAGGCGGGTGCAGGCCGCTGTTCCGTCAGATCCAGAGCCGAGAAAAACGTGGTGGGTGGTCAAGACAAACCGGAGACCAGGGTTCTCACAGCTCAAAGGGAAAATGCCTGGATCTTGATGCGGTGTGGAAGATGCAGGCGGGTGAGGTAGAAAGATGTCCAGAGGCGAAGAAGAAAAAATAGGTAGGCTTGGGATCGGAAGGTCAAGTCAGTGATGAAAGTTGAAGGTCGCGCGCCTACAAGGTGTGTGTGCCTTTTGCGTAATGATTGTGCTGTAAGGTGGAGCTTTGGCCAACGCTATTAAAGTGCAAATAAAAGCGGGGCCCTGGAAATACCTTACCACGCCTTACCTTCATTCCCTACGGTACCAGACGGACCTAGTAGTGTAGAACGAATACCGAAGTGATATGCACGACCTATTTTGCGGATGACCTTATGTAGCTACTAGAGACGTACGTGTATGTGCATTTTTCCCTATGAAGGTGTCCTCCAAGTTCAACATACCTCCCTCCTACCTACATACATCTCTTACCGGGTACCTTATAGCTACATGACATTGAAATATATAGAATGATCCATGTAAAGATATATGTACATACACATGCAGATCATTGAGCTTCAGGCACAAATAGTGTAGACCTATAATGAATGAATCAGGTGCCTACCTACATGGATACTGTACCTAGGACTACAAGAGGTACCTACATATACCTCATATAAGTAAGTACCTTACATACCACCTCCTCCATCACAAATATATGCGCATGCTTACATGTAGGTATTCTCTTCCTAATATGTAGTAGACATGTCAAATCATCCATCTGTGCACCAGCAAGCCCAGCTTGCCAATCCATCCAAATCGCCTTGGGGTCTTACCTGCGATAAGTATTGGTCTGCAGCTCCCCGGCATCTATTACTGCCCTGTCCCGCGGACCTTGCAAACTGTTGCAACTTCAAGTACTCGGAGACAAGTATATCATAGCAATTTTATACTTATCGTAGCAACCCAAATTCAAAGCCAAAGCTGCACCAAAAAGATCTCACTTTCACAACTAAGAGCTAGCCCTACCTAGCGACTATTTTGTTTCGGGAAGGTTCATATATGCTATGTTGTCTTGTCTTGTCTTAAAAACATCTCGGATATAGTTCCCACCATCCTGAGCAGATAAGAATTTATCGTTGGCCCAAGATTGAAACACATGTGAGCTCTTGTTGGTCAGTCAATACGAGGGCTTCTGTATTGTACGAACGTTGTTAGTTAGGGCTTACGGATATTGGAGCCCAAACCATCCGCTGGTAAGTCTGAGTATTGATCTACAGAGAATACAGAGAGCTTCATATTACTATTCTCGCCGTACGGACCTACCTTCTTATATATTGTTAAGCTGGGTGGGGAGTGCGGAATCCGACATTTATTTTCAATATTTTTAAACACGTGAGCAATTTCATTCACTAAGGTATAAAATACATCCCGGTGTTTTCTGACCTATATCCGGGGACGAATTACCAAGCTTTGGTAGTGTTCCAACAGGTAAGGGGGTTTATACAGTAGAGGCAAGAAGCACGTATATACCTACCTAGGTACCTAGTAATTTTATAGAAAAATCGCAAATAAGTGCGGGATCGGGACCATGCAGAACGACGACATTCGGACCCACTAGTATGGAGGGGCCGGAGGGGAAATCGATGGCGGGGTCGTGCTCTCTTTTTTCTTCCTTTTTCTTTTCTTTTGCTTTTATTTTTCCTTTTTCCCCCCGAAGCCAATTTGTGCTCATCACCTAGCCTACCTACAAAGGTACCCAACCACACCGCCGCGGGGTGGTTCTAAGAAAGAGGAAGAAAAAAACATCACGCCATTGCCGACGCATAACACCTAATAAAATAATGCCTGAAAACGTTGAAAGCCGAATGAATAGTTTCTTCTAATGTAAAATCAGACTCCAGCTAGATGATGTAACAGGTAATATAGCTGCGGAATAATCGTGTATAGGTAGAACCGGAATTGAAACAAGCAAGCGCCGGGAGAATTGCGACTGGGATGCGCTGCAGATGAACAAGCAGAAAAGCAAAACCGGCGACCCAAATCCACGTCTAGTTTCAACACATGCGTGCGCATATACGAGTTAGATATGTAATGAGTTATTATTCTCTGCATACTTTATATATGTGCGCAAGTGACAAAAAGAAATCAATGAAAAATGTTATTATAAGAGAGAAAAGGGGTTTAGGAAAGAAGGAAGGAAGGAAGGAAGGAAGGACCCTACCTAGTTAATTAAGAGTGGTGGTGAGAATAAGCCGCATTGTAGAAAGTATATCCATATCCAGCCTCATATCACTTTCATGCAAATCTCGTCGAGAACGGCATTTTCGACGTCAACCGGCCCCGGGGACAAAAAGAAATATCGAAAAAGAAAACACAGCTGGACTCGCGGGGAATTGAACCCCGGACCTCTTCCAAGCTTCGTGATGGAGCACAGGGCTTCATCGTCATCCACAACAGGGGACCGAATGCTAAGGAAGAATCATACCACTAGACCACAAGCCCATATTTGGCGAACTGGCGGGACTGGATCCGATCCGGCCCCACCGTGATTCAGCCAGTTGCTGATTGTTGGTGGCCAGGGATTTTATTTTGGATGATATGGCTTTTCTTTTGCTCAGGCAATTCGGCAAGACGGGTGATTCGTCCTTCTAGGTGTGAGTGGGACGGACTCAGCATGGGTATGCTGTGGTCCGTGCCAGCAGAAGTGCAAACTTGTTTCTGTCAACCGCCTCTAACCTTCAAACTTACGTAGCAGGTCTTTTCTGTTCCAGGAGGTAGTTTATTCTGAAGGTTCCTAAGTAACGGCCATCTACGACTATGGGTGTTTAGCGGTTACTACTGTGACCAGTGGATGCCTTTCACTACACACGTCAAGCAGGCATACTACCTATGCTGGTGTTATCTTTTGATGACTGTAAGGGTCGATGTAACAGGCAACTCTATGCACTTGCGGGATATTGGAAACCTCACTTCGGACTAATATCCCGACTTTCTTAGGTTAGAGGCTTGCCTAGGGCTTGTTTGGTCCAAGCAATATCGAAGGCTGAGATTCGATAATAGAATCATGTCCTTCGCCTACAAGATGATCAGGAAAGCAGCGAATACATACCGGCCGGTGCAAATATTGGGCTGTGTACGGACGTAAATGTCAAGCCACTCCCACGTGAGTGTTACACCACCAAGCTGTAACAATAGGGTGGCTTGCTATACCAATGACATACAATCAATGAGGTCTTAATTAAAGGCCATAGCAGCTAGCCCCTACATACCTGATAGTTTGAGCGGGTTAAGGTTCACAGTCTAGATGCTAGTCCCTAAGGTCGCACGTTCGTGTTTTAAGAGATATATCAAAAAGGGGCTAGATCCCAGTTTCCTAGGTAGTTTTCAGCATATTGAACTGGCCAGGTTCACGAACAAACCTTTCCCAGTCCAAACCCGAGCCTTGAGCATACGTGCCATTATTTATAAATGAGGAGTCAGGCAGCAGCCAAGTTAGAAAGATATGTAAGAGATTATACCCAGGTAGACAAGGTAATTTTAGCTAGAAACGACATGTTAACTGATTGTAGATATCAACTTCGGACTTGATTTCAATAATCTATCACGTCTATTCTACTACTTATGAAAGAGAAGTCATCTTAATCCATGACAGCATGCATTTATAACCCGTCATGTTGTGCAGCTCGTGAAGGAATGGTATCCCCTTGCTTGGACAAGGCAACTCGTCAACTGTCAATGAATTCTGTGCCACTAACTAGTAGCAAGCTATTACAACAGCTTGTGAGATGTAGCCTTGCATGTAGGCAATGAGGGAAGGATGGCCTTATCAAGACTCATGGATTTGAATGCCTTTCAAGATTACCAATTGACTATATGCTCGAGAAAGTAAAATGCGCTGTCTGGGTGAAGGCTAAGTCGGCTTTCACCAGATATTCTCTCCACGGGGGTTCCAACGCACGCCTCAGTTACACATCCAGCAATACCAGCGCCTCTGCCATCTTCTACCGGGGCCAGTGATACATTTGTAACGTGTTACCGAGACCAATCAAATTCCGCCGAGTCTTAGGCTCGAGAAGGAACCCAGTCTCCATCATTTCCATCGACGGACCGGAAAGGAGATAATTACCTCTCCTTCGTCATATCGGCGCCCATCGACGCGTGCGTAGTATTATGATATGAAATTATAAAGACTTGATTTCAACCTTCTAGGGACGAAACGATCTTTTATCGTGACCTATATATAAAACGTAGCCGTATTAAAAGCATGCTACATATCTTGGACATTCATTAACATTATTTTCACCGAAGGAGCTTTACATCTAAATAGTCCCCTTAGAAAATAATTATTATCATTGGATAACGAACAAATTTCGGACAAAACCTACATTACTTGAAGGTCATTAGCTTTATAGCGGCTTATCAAGGGCTAGCAGCTAAACGAGCTCTAGCGTTTCTAAGGCATATGGTACATTTAAGCCTTTTCGCAGTGATACCTTGCAAACCAGAGAGATTGTTATACCTATATAATAGACTTCGGTAAGAACTATTATTTTTAAACATGAATGATCATAATGAAATTTGTCGATGGTTCCCTCTACATTTTGATTCTTACCCCTGACCACTGTCGCATGTCTGGATTACGAGTTTTGACAATGAGCTCTCTAAGCATATAGATTAGCAACTGAAGTTTGACTAACATCATCAAAGCGGTTAATGCGAGACTCGACCTTATACTATGTCCCCGTCTTTGCGAGTACATGTAGCTAGGTATTGATCTTGTTGTTGAGTGCTAGGTACTATTAATATCTATTTAACCCCTACAGATGTGTATGTAGTTAGGAGACAACCCTTCCATCGACACTGCGGGAATGTATATATTAGAAGTGTGTACCTAGGTATGGATTCGAAATACTCAGTCAATTTCCCCACGTGAGTCTGTAAAAATTTAGTAGTGTTACTTTACATCCCGAACAGAGATAAGGGAATAACACATTTTCGTTGCACCTTGAAACCCAACCGCAATAATTCTGGAATAAAGATACCCAAATGCAAGTAGCCTAGGTTACAGGAATCTCGATCAGGCCATCTCGCCACTCCTTTTCTATCTGATGTTGTGTTCAGGATTTCTAGTTGACGGTTGCAACAGTCTAGGCGGTGTCAAAACATGATAGAATTGGGTTCGCTAAACTGCGATCCATGTATCCGTATAATCGGGAAACATGGCCTGCACTGTAAACAGGGAATGCACGGTGCGACGCGTGGCTGTATGTGATCAACCAAGTGCCAGGATGCGACACGAGCTTCTGGATTGTTCGTTTGTGCTTGGATTGGACAGGGAGACGCTGAGGGGAGGACAGGAATGGTTTCTCGCTTACAACAACAATATGCAAGATGCGGCGGAACTGTTGACCATCTGCAATCCACTTCTCATTCGGAATATTATTAAAATAGGTAACTAATGTAGCTCTAGAGGACAGTAATTCGGCCATTCCCTGTTCGGCCACCTCATGTTGGCAGCATAGCCACCGTGTTGTTCACTTATCACGATGCGAAATCGAGACAAAAAGGTGATGTCACTTCGTCGCGTGGGAAGCCATTGGAAGGAATGTGAATAAGGGGAGGGATGGAGGATGGGGGAATCAAACGTGTAAAGTGGCTGTCCTAGCCCCCCCTTCGTTCATTATTTATTTATTTTTGTCTCTGGATCTGGCTTTCCTTCGCGTGCGGGCAATCCCACCATTTCATCCCGTCGTGCAGTGCGCATTCACATTCAATATACATGGACGCACGTGAAGCGCTTCACAAGGACCAGACGTCGTGCAGTGAATTGAATGGCCAAAAGGCGGGCGACAAGCTTTGAGCCCCTCCAGGCCCGCAATAAGCCCCCTTAACCCCCCTGGACTAGGTACCTTAGGGAACGTTTATAGCGCCACAAGTCCCGATGCCACACTTTACCGCCTGATTTACAGTAGTCTAGCTGGCAGGCTAGCCAACCTAAGGACCCCGCTAGGCTGTTGGCTGGGTGGTGGGACAGCGGGCTACACACTCAGCTCTGCGTGCCGCTGGTCAATTGGATTTCAAGATACCATCAGACAAACCCAATTAAAATAAATCTACCTACGTACTACCTCCGTACCCGCTACCCGTACTCCGTAGATCCATCTTTGCGCCCCAGTCAACACCCCAAAGCCGTGTAGTGGAAAAGCAACAAAACCACTTGAACCGAGCACATCTCTCAACTTTCCTTCCTTCATGCTCTCTTCACCGTCACATCGGCCGAGTTGCGAATGTCCCTTCTATTCTCCTTCTTTGCAACACAATCGTAGTCTGCCCCGAACGTTGCACCTGCTCTTCGCATTCGGTTAAATCCCCGAACAACACGTACATGTGCCCATTGCTCCATGGCCCAGACTCGTTAGATATCGTTAGATACGATACTACCCTGCAGAAGACGTGTTGCCGCTCCTGATTTCGACCCCCAACGTCCATCCCTATTCAGGCAGAACAGACACTTCTCTACCACTCACGAGCCCCAGCATTGCTAGACAGCATGTCGGTACACGAGGAGCAGCCCTCCTCCGAGGCTGGCCCGCGAATTGACGATTCCCCAGCTGCTTCGGACAAGGAAACGGTATGTAAATTATCTATCTTCGTATCAACAGCCCCTGTTTGTCGACTTATGAGGGCCTGTCTTCAGTCACACTGCATTGCGCCGCCATGACGAACCAGCCATGCTAATTCCGATGTGCATATACACAGGACACCTTCGAAGATGCTATTGATACAGGCTCCATCAGATCTTTAACAGCACGCAAGATCGCCCAATCCAAACCCGCACGTCCTCCCAGCGCTGGGTCAGATGGCACTTCAGGTGCACCCGAGAGTCCAACTCTCCAAGAGAAGCAGAATGGCAACCCATTTGAGCAGATTGATGGCACAGCAGAGGACAAAGTCGAGGCCATAGAGGAACAGAGCGGCACTGCAGTCGAATCGAGACCGGCATCCAAGCGCACATCCAATGCATCCCTTGACAATGTTGATCTTGGTGATGCATCTTCGGGCGAGCCACCTTCCGTTGAACCACCCTTAGTCCAGCCACCAGCAGTCGAATTACCTTCGGTTGAGCTACCTCCAGTCTCACCACCTAAGGGTTAGTTCCAAAAGGTCCGGGATCAAGAGTCTACAGCAACTAATGTACACATAGCAGAGAAACTCCCCGTGGCAGAGAAGCAGCCTGGGAAGAAGCTTTCGCTCAGTAACATTGCTAGCTCATTACCTTCAATGCCATGGTCTCCCCCTTCGAACAACGAAATCCCTCCTAAATCTAGCCCGAATCCTTCTACTGCCCCGGCTCCGGCTCCCGCCCCGGCTTCAATAGCACCCCCGCCTCCCCCTACGCGAAAAATAACTAGTCCATTCTCCTGGCTATCCCGGAACTCTACTCCAAAAGAAGCTGTTACCTCACCCCCGGTCGCTGCCGTGAGCAGGAGAAACACGGCAAG